TGTAGGTTCTTGTGGAAAATGCGTGGCTCGGCGAACTGTTCGAAATGCAGGAGAAACTGTGATGGCGCTGAAGATTTTCTGGCACACTCCCTGTGAATCTGATGCTGCTGCAGCATGATTATTGCCATTCTTTTCCATCAAGTATAAATATGTGGTCAAGTTTTGGAAAAATGGGAGTGATTTTCTAGACAACAGAGGTGGTGGTATTTATATGCATTGATTTGTCTAGCTAGTCATTTTCTACGTACAGTTCTTATTCACATTGAAAATCAGAAACAAACGAGCTTTTATCTACTGTTTGTGTCGTTTTTGATCTAAAGAGAAAAGTACCGTGTCAATTTTGGGATCATATCCTCAATCACTTTTGGTACTCTATTTTCTATGGAAATTAGAATCTAAAAAGTACCACTATGCAAAGCATATGCATAATGCATAGCAACCTATTAACGGATAAATTTTAATCTGGTTCCCGCAAGGGCCACAACTACTTTTTGACAATTGAGTTTGAGATTCCGGAGAAAATTTTAATAGGACTGTGAGTTTCGTCACACCGCCTGCACAGATCCACATGTGATGATATGGTAGACGAAAATGTCGGTATTTATGGATTATGTTTAAATTTTGTGTTCAGTGCACGCGATGTAGGATTGGATTCGATTTGAGTGTGGAAATATGGTAGGCAGATTGTCTGCCCTTCTGTTTGGTTGTCATTTTTATCCCTTTTTATTTTGTGAGGTTATGGTTAAGTCATGTACATATTTTATATTGATTTTTTTTATAGAAATAATAAGACAAAAAATAATAAGAATATAAAATGTTGACGTGATTTAACTGTAACCGTACAAATAAAAGGGGATTGGAAGGGCATCCAAACAGGAGGGCAGACAATCTGCCTTCAGAAATATGACCAATAAAGAAACTAACCCTTTGTAATTACAGAAATCTCGTATGGTTGTGATCCCACTAATCACACGCTCAAAAAGCTTGGAATAATTGTACTTCTTGTGAAACGTGAGTGGTGATCAACCAGATTACGGTTGAACACCAATTTTTGGAACACAAATGTACCAATGATTCTGGAAGAAAGTAATTTATTAAGGACTCATAAATTTTATTGTTTTGTTAAGGGTAATGTTAGGTAAACAAATTTTGTAAACCAAGTGATGTGGTTGTGGATGATTGGATTATTACTTAGTGTTGATTTAGAAATTTGGTATCCCTAGCATTATCCTTTTGTTAATGTGAATCAAAGACCTACTAGATGTTCTAGTTAGAAAATTCGATTATAAGACAGAGACTCAAGGCAAAAAAGACTTTAAAAAAGGTATGGAGTACTTGGAAACGGAAAACTTTGACATAAAACAGACGACAATGGCGTTTTAAGATTCATACAGGCGATTCCACATGGTAATATATGACTTTGTTGTTGTTGATGTGAATTCTCTCTCTTCACTTTACTTTTGTTATGTGGGGATGTATATATGGAATGAAAAGCTAGGGCTACATTCGTTCCGTTTGTGTTCCATCTAGATGTAAGAATCAAGAAATACTAAGGAAAGGAATATTTACTTCCTTTTTCTTATCCTTTTCCCATAGGGTCGACATGCTTAGCATCATCTGACCCGTGGGAAGGTTTTATGTTTATGCTCTGATTGGTGGTTAAGTGATGCCAATGAAGACTAGCAGCCAACTAAATTAGTAAATGAATCGGATTCCGATAAAGATTTGGATTCTCTCCTCTCTTTCCTCTCTTATTTAAATGCTCAAATATTAAACAACATCATCATCTTGTTTTACCTTATTTGTAGGGAGAGAAGAAGAGGAGAGAATTTAACTCCTTATGATAAGACCAGTCTTAATCAATATCTGATAAGCATAGGATTCAAATCCAACTATTATTGTCACTTAGTACTATGGTCTAGTTATATTCCGCTCACTTATAAGTGAAGAGTCTTAGATTCGATTCTCGTCAAATGCAAAGTTGAACCACATTATTATGGCAAGCCGCTTGGCCCACTCCCTCATCCTTTAGTGTGGATACTATAGTTTGTTAAAAAAAAAAAAAAAATTGGTTCATTATCAATGCTAATTTAAAACCTAAAAATGACTGAAGTATCATTGGCAATTCATTTAATATATACAAGTATAATATTTATAAAATAACATAAAATAAAATAAAAAGAATAGAATAACAAAATATGCTTCTATTAAACCGAATCAGATTATTATCAAATTGAATACACCTTATCTATATTTGAATCTATTTATAATCGAATTATCTTTATTCAAATAGTAATTGGATCATCCTGTAGACATCGAAATTTCAGTAAAACAAATGTTCACCCAACGCATTAAAGTTTTGACGTGTCAAGGCATACATGGCATACGCCACGTGTCGTACAAATTGTACACATGGCATGTGACTCAACAAAATAGGAAGAAATACCCTTGGATGATTAAACAAGGTTTTTCTTCTCAATTTGGGCAATGACAAGGTAAGCACACTTCAATCCATTACGGATCAAAGCAAGTTTTTCTCATTTGGGCAATGACAAAGCATACACATTTCAAGTTTAAAATGGTGTTAAGTGGGAAATTAGGCCATAAGTTAGACCACTTCAAGTTTAAAATGGTATTAAGTGGGAAATTAGGCCATAAGTTACACCACTTCAATTTCAATATTGCATTAAGTGGGAAAATTAGGCAATGGTGCTTGGAAAGGAAAAAAATATTTTGTGGTGGTGATTCATTCTCAAAGCCTATAAATAGGCTTCTCCATCAAGGTATCAAGCATCAAGGAATTCACAAATACATTTCTCTACTCCCAAATTGGAAGAGAATTCCCCAAATCCTTGAAGCTTTGAAACTCCAAAGCTCTCAAGCATCCAAATTCCCAAGAATTCCGAAGGATCAAGAAAGCACTATTCGTTCTTCGTCAAATCCTCCTTCAAGATCAAGCCCCAACGGCCCTTTGGATCAACAACCTCAACAAATCCACACATCCAATCGTTCTTCAAGACTAAGCCCAAAAGCCCTTGAAGATCTGCTCATCCATCAACCTTCAAGGTCAAGCCCAAAAGCCCTTGAAGAAATCCATACACCCATTCTTCAAGATCAAGCCCAACGCCCCTTGAAGATCCGTTCATCAACTGTTCATCCTTAGATCAAGCCCCGACGGCCCTTTGGATCAACAACTCATCCACTAACCTACACCCTACGAAGATAGAATCAGATGACCAAATTTGAGAGAGATCGTAACCCCAAAATCATAAACACAAAAATATTATTTTGTACACGTTATTCTGGTTTCTTGTTTCAAGGAATCTTTCGTGTTCACACATCCAATTAAAAATTTCAGCATCCTATTAAATATGGATAAGAACCATATCTTTTTTTTTATGTACATCTCTTTACTCATCGTGTCACATCCCAGCCCGGGGCGGATCACTTTCCAAGCCCGCTCCACCACCGTAGCACGATATTGTCCGCTTTGGGCTTACCATTCCCTCACGGTTTTGTTTTTGGGAACTCACGAGCAACTTCCCAGTGGGTCACCCATCATGGGATTGCTCTAGCCTCCTTCTCGCTTAACTTCGGAGTTCCTAAGGAACCCGAAGCCAGTGAGCTCCCAAAAGGCCTCGTGCTAGGTAAGGATTGAAATATACATTTAAAGATCACTCCCCTGGGCGATATGGGATGTCACAATCCACCCTCCTTAGGGGCCCGACGTCCTCGTCGGCACATTTCCGGCCAGGGATAGGCTATGATACCAAATTGTCACATCCCAGCCCGGGGCGGATCACTTCCCGGGCCCGCTCCACCACCGTAGCACGATATTGTCCGCTTTGGGCTTACCATTCCCTCACGGTTTTGTTTTTGGGAACTCACGAGCAACTTCTCAGTGGGTCACCCATCATGGGATTGCTCTAGCCCCCTTCTCGCTTAACTTCGGAGTTCCTACGGAACCCGAAGCCAGTGAGCTCCCAAAAGGCCTCGTGCTAGGTAGGGATGAGAATATACATATAAGGATCACTCCCCTGGGCGATGTGGGATGTCACACATCGCGTTACGAGAGATGTACAAACAAGAGGATAGACCCTTAAAAAATTATTTTTTTAATGAACAGTGTCAGTTTATATTTTATACTATCCCTATCCGAGGGCCAAAGTGCCATAAGCCAAAACCTAGCCAGTTTGACAAAAAATCCATCTCCAACCGAAGGGGGGCTATTTTTTAGCCCCTCAATAATTTATTATCTTAATAAATTAATATGGTTAATTGAATTAAACTACCATATTAAAATAATATTTTCGGACATATTTTGAGTGTCACTTGTCGCTAAATTAATAAGTCTCCTGATTTTTTATCTTATAATGAAAATAATGTGAAAAATTGGTGAAGAATTGAAATAAAATAAGGTAAGATAATTTGGAATATTGAAAATGATGTGAGAAGTGGGGTAAAAATGACTTAGGTATTTATAGGAAAAAAAAATTAGAATTTTTTTTTTTTTTAAATTTCGTCTTAAAAAAAAAAAGTCAAATCCAACAGTAACCTGACGTGCATGATGTTAGGTAGCATGTGTTTGGGCTGGGCTATAGGGCTGGCTGCTCTTGGCCAACTTGCTAGTCGGTTCTCCAATTTTTGGCATGGTGGAATCCACGAGCCCTTTGGCCTAACCCTCGGTTGGATATGGTTTTTGTGTCAAAACTGGCTATTTTTTGGCCTATGACCCTTTGGCCGGGTCGATTGGAGATGACCCTAGTTATATGAAATGTTTAAAATATCCACAAAATTATCAATATTTTCGTAGAAATATCTAAAAAATCAATAATCGATAGGTAGGGAGGAGAAGTGCAAACTTCACTAAAAAAAAATTTGACGAAATTCACTATGGACTTCAAACTTTTGATTTTTTTTTTTTTTTTTTAAGAAACTTTTTGCTAATTTCAACTAAAACTGAATAAGTTGATATACCCACCCGTTGCAACTTTACATAATTTCCGTCAAAGCAACCGATATCGATATATGCATCAATATTTACATAAATTTGCATATTGATATTTCTACCTATATAGATATTTTAAACACTGGCCATACGTGGAAACTCTCCAAAGGTGGATTGCTCCCATCATAAAGTCCGACAATGAAAATTGTTACATCACAACAATTTACAAGAATGTCTACCCGCTTAAATCAGTTATGGTTTACAAGAAAGCACCATGCCACAAGATTTCCGGAAAGAAAACTATGTAAAACTGCAAATTTACTCGAGTAAAGTTCATGGGAGCATTGGCAGGGTCGCACCACACAAAACAGTCATCGTTTAATCGCGGGCATGTTTGGAAGTGCTTCTCTAGATAACCTTCTGCTCAAGGCATCAAGATTTCTTCATCTACTACTGCCGCTCAAAACACTTGAAGCACAGCCTTAATGGCGGAAAGTCTTTACAGCCTGATCAATTCGTCGCCGGCAGAGAGGACAGGTGGTCAGGTGCAAGGAGCAAGTTGTACAACAGCACATATGACCACACCTGAAAAAATAAATAAAAGAATCAGTGATGTGTTAAATTCGTAAGGTAATAAATTAGACTGGCCATTGTATCATATAATGAAAGGGCAGTTCTTACGGGACAAAAACCGCATTATAATCCTGTTCAAGGCATATCACACATAAATTGGGCATCATACGGTCTCTCTTGTTTCCATCTGATGCACTATCATCTTTTTCGTTTGAACCTGGGAGAAAAAGGTAAAACCTCTTGGTACATTTTTGAGCATATATTATTGCAAATAACATCGTAATGGGGTCTCCCAGCAGTATACCTGCACTATCTTCCCCAGATCTTTTAGCAGCTGCAGCAACAACCCTGCATGGAGTCGAATTTCATTATCCATTTGTTTCAGATAGACGGAAGAAACAACAGAAATATTATTTATATATATATATATGAGGATATGAGGCCACCATCAAAACATGCTGTTTTTCCTTTACATTCTTACTCATAGAAGCAGCGACTTTCACTTGCAAGTTCCAAATGAACAAACTTGGGCTACGTACCTTTTCTGCAATTCCCAAAGGCGCTTCCTCTCAATGATGTATTGGATAGAATGCTTAGCAACCAAATAAACACCAAACACGGTCAAACCCACAGATGCATATTTGTACCACCTGAAAAGGACATCTATATTAATTAGACTACAGAGAAAGCACACCATTGAAGCAAATGAGCAGTGCATGAGTGCAAAAACACCAGCCATGGACTTACATAGCACACAGAATGTTAATATACATTTACGCATTTGTATTAAGTTATAAACAACCTTGCCCATTTTCCAAGGTTAGCAATAAGCTGATCAATGGTTTTGGGAGAGACATAAAATGGCCCCTTCTGAGGTCGTTGAATCCTAATGGTACCGATGTCATCTTTGACAGCCTGATATAAATCAAGCAATAAGAGAAAGTATCAAATGAGTGTGTACATCATAACATTTCAATGCACAAACGTTCCACCAAATAACATCCTGCAAATAAAATGCTAATTATGAAACTAAAGCTTCAAGCTGTTTTACAAGAGTGCAAATTCTTCTATGGGACAGTGATCATTTTTGGAACAAGGATCATCCAAATTAAGTACATTTTGGTACAATACTAAACAAAAAACATTTGCGTAAAAGTAATTTTAAAATTTGTAATTATCAGAATGTTGCTTCCTACAGTTTAGCTTTATGTCTATTTGAGTATTTGTACTAAAAAAGATACAGTTATTAAACTACAGCATACCTCACCAACAACACTCATAGAAGTACCGGTTGGAAGTACCCTCTCAATTCGTTTGACTCCAAGCATCTGAGACAAAACAGCCATCTTACTAGTTGAACCATTGAAGTTTGCCAGATACAAGTACACAACAATTACTAAACTAAGCAAACCTTGAGGCCTTGGAGATAATCTAATGTCCCACGTACGAGGGATCGTCCTGACTCTTCAAATACCTCACTTGCAACCGGCAATACAAATCCTGTGGCAGCTCGTGCTCCCACCACAAACACACGACCAGTTCCATCATCCTGATAAAAATAAAAAAATAAAATTCCAGGAACCACCATCATATCCAGTTAGTCAAATTTCAGCTCCAAGTGAACCAAAAATAATATTTACTCAATAAGCACAAGAAGGGACATGTAGAGAGAGAGAGAGAGAGAGAGAGAGAGAGAGAGAGAGAGAGAGAGAGAGAGAGAGAATTCTCACCAAGTACCAGGGAACTTCTTTACTCATTGAAAGCATCAAAGCAGAATCCTGTATCCATGAGCCAGCATCATTGTGTTTCAAAAAATGTTGTTCTGCCTGAAGAAGATAAACAATATCGTTGATTTCCAATCACACGAGAACACAACCAACGAACGCATCCAAATATGTTCTTTAGAGTTATGATTTGTGTACCGTTTCCTCCACAACTACGCCTCGTAAACCAGTGAATTCACAGTTGATGGGGGTTTCAGAGCTAACTCTCCCCGAAACTGCAACCACCACTGGCAATCTAAATTCGGAATCCAACAATTTTGCTGAAAAAAGAAAGTAGACAGCAACTCTAATTCAGGGAGCAGACCCAAAGAGACAAACGGCATCGCCCGAAAAATAAATAAATCTACAAATCTTCTCCCAACAGATGTTCCACATGAAAATGTATTTGATTCAAGCAAGGCACCAAAACAAAACAATTGAAGCAAAAACTAATCTTTCAGTTTCGAAAAAAGGCGCATACCCAATTCCTTTAACTGATTAATCCGAGTGGCGGATTTAAGAATCTCTGCATCCCTGTGTAATCACAAAACACCAAAATTCAACATACCAACAAAAAAAAAAAGTAATTAACAACTTAGAAATGTTTAATTTGATCATCAGTAAAGCTAATTCGATATCGAAAAACAGAGAGAATAAACTGACCTGCCACTGCTCCTGCCAAGAAGGTAAAGAGCAGCTCCACTCAGACAACAACTCAATCCACCCCAAGGTAGCATTTTTAACCACCGCAACGATCGATAAACTAATTCCAAACCCTTGCGCTATTGCTCTCCGCCTTGTTACGCATTACCGGAAGCATCAGGGCTCAAAAACCGGACCCAGAAAGAAATCATACGCGAAAGATTGATCATTTACGGCGAATTTGATGGAAAGATATGGAATTGGAATGGGAATTAGGGATTTTGGGAGAGAAAGAGGGGGAAAGGAGGAGTGAGATTCTAGGGAAATAGGAAGTCGCAAATAAAGGGTTCTGGAAATTTTCTGTTTGTTTTCCGGGAAAGTTGAAAAGGAAGGAAATTGCGAAGGGGGATTAGGGATTTTACAAAGAGAGAGCGGGGGGAGATGATATTGTCGGGAAATAGGAACTCACAAAGGAAGGGTTCTGGAATTTTCTGTTTGTTTCCCGGGAAAGTTGAAAATGAAGGAAACTGGGAAGGGGGATTAGGGGGAGGGAAGCGGAGGGACAAGAGTGGAATATAAGTCAATGTGAAAGTTTATTTATCCAAATCCCATTAAGGTCCTAAATTCAACAATGAACGTGTTTATCAACACATAAGTAATAACACAATTATCAAATTCAATCTTTCTAATATTGCTCTTTTAATTAAAACACGATATGAAGTGAGCTTGCTTAATTAAAACGAGCCTAAAGAAAAAAAATTATAAAATAAGTGACATTAACTCACGACACATGGCCTCAGGCACAAGGTTGGATTATTCTTACTCGATTGAGCAGTCAAATTTTGCTTCCTTTCACCGTAACTCGGCTGGTTGTGCTTGCAGTGGAGAGCATTTTGTGGGTTTTAGCAATGCTTAAAATATCTATGAAATTGTCGATATATTCGTCGAATTATTTGAAAAATCAAGAATGATATGGAAAATGAGAGAATGAAAACTTCAACTATTGTTGGCGAAATAGAGAAAAATTATTGAATATCAACTTAAATTTTGTTAGAACCCATGGCATATTTCGAACTTCTAAATTTTTTATGAGAAATTTTTCTTTAGTTACGATTAAATCTGATGATTTGATATATAAGCCTATTACAAATTTTCATAATTTCTATCGAAAACAACCGATATCAAAACCAACATCAATATTTTCATAAATTTTCATATCGATACTTTCACATGTGTCGAAATTTTAAGCATTAGTTTTTGGGAATCCATTAGGAGGGGTGCTCTTAGGCCCATATATAGTATGCATATCCAATTTCGTAGTTCTGAATATGACGTATTTACCCTTCAACGGGTCATGAGTTGAGTATAACTGTATGAATGAAAATATTATCTTCTCTCTCTAACTCAGTCTAATTATCTCTCTCCTTCTGGCGGATCTGAACCAGGGTCCTATCAAAACATCTCTCTCTGCTTCTTCCTTCGTTTCAATGGCTGCGGCCGCTCTCAGAAACCCTAGCTCCAAGCGCATCCTCTCCTACTCGCCGCAATCCTACTTGTTCGGCCGAGGATTGATCGCCGCCGCCGGTTCTCCAATCGCCAACTCTGCTGTCGGAAATGACCGATCTTTTAGCCCTAGTCCTTGGTGGCGATCCATGGCCACCTTCACCGGCATGTTAGTATTCACTCGTTGGCTCTGTGTTGCTTAAAGTTTTAATTTTTCATTTTTTGTAAGAAATTAGGACTTTTTGTAGGGAATTAATTGAGAGATTTGCACCGTTTGAGTTTTTTTTTATTTTATTTTTTATATTGGATTTAATTGGCCTGTTTAATTTTTTGTATCTGAATTAGATTTTGCGTCATTGAAGTTGAATATCTATCGATGGGAGTTTTTTGGGTTGTGAATTGTAATCGAATTGTGTATGCCTGTACAGAAAACCTCAAGTGAATGTTGGATTTGATCATGGAAAAACGACGCTGACTGCCGCAATTACAAAGGTCCGCCATTTTGATGTATTGATTGTATTTTTATATGAGATTTTGTGGGCTGTATTTGTATCTCTGCATTTGCTTCATAAAACACAGCGGATGTTGCTAAAGATAACTGCTTCCCCAACTTAGTCCCATCTCCGACACGCGAAATGGGACGGACCCAGTTCATATGGGAGAGTTGGGGGAAAATGGAAACTTTTCGGTCATAATATGCTGTTTGATTCCTTAATGGAAACTTTTCGGTCATGATATGTTGGTTCCTTAATGGAAACTTTTCGATCATAATATAATGTTTTGATCTCAATTCAAGTAAGTTGGGAATGCATTTAGGCACTCATTTAGAGATTCCTTAATGAATTAATCCTAATCCTTTAGGGTATTGACATTTGTTATTTCGTTACGAGAAGTGTCTTAACTTTGGCCTGCAATTTTGTTCATAATATCTAAGTACAGTTCCATTTTAATATCATCGTTGCGGTCTTATACTGATACTATTGTTTTGATCATGAAACTATATTAAGAAGCTTTCCTAGAACAATGACGTGCTTTATTTGAATTGTCCATATTTTCATGTTGCACAGTTCTTTTTTGCCTTGCTCTGTTGCTCCCCTTATTTTCACTGGGTTTTCACTCTTTTATTTTGTGTTGCAGTAGCGGTCAGTTTACTAATTTTTTTTTTTTTTTTTAAATGTCCTGAAGGGTTTTGCAACTGTTGCCACCGGCCATGTTGAACAAGGGACCGTTAATCCTAATATCATGAACCTTCGCCCGTTATCTCCTCATCTTCCTGTTTATACGCCACAGCTGAATTCGACGTTTTCAATTACCAATAGAATCTCAGGGGTTGTCCTAGCTACTGTAGTTCTTCTTTTTTATCTTCTTTATCTGAAAATGGGTTTGATTTGCTTCACCTTTGAAAAATACTACCAACTCCTCTTTTATTCATCAAAGCTCATCCCCATCACCGTCGAGATTTCAGCTTTAGCCCTGGCCTATCATACGTTATATGGGGTTCGCAGCTTTGTTCGCAAATTGTGAGCTGATACAACCGGTTCCTCTTGAACAAGGTTTGTTCACATCATCTCTGCCACAGAAACCTAAGAATTAGCTTTGCTTATTTGTTAATATTTAATACGACTAGTTGTCGAGTCTGAATTGTGAAAAGTTTTGAGGGCTAAACATTCCCTATGTTCATTTGTCAGGACAAAGATTTGCCTGAGGGAGGGAGGTAGAACGGTTGGTGCAGGAGTTGTTCCGTAAGTACTCTGAGAATAAAGATTTTCTGGTGCTGGATCATTTGAATCACTTTCTGTGTGCACATTAGTAGAATAAGGCGTGGTGAAACAAAGAACTCTTCACTTGGAAACATGACATGTCATAATTATTTACATAATCCGCGTTTTATGCGTTTGTTTTAGGTTTTGTTGATGAGATTGTCTGGTGTTAGAATGAACAGTAAATCGAGTCCTTTTTCGTGCACCTTTGGGTTTAGTTTGTTCAAGTAATTTATGTTCTTTTGCATTTACAATTTCGCTCCTTGCAAATCCATTTTGCTTTCCTCGAAGGAAAACCCGAAATGATCTGTATGGTTTCGCTGTTAGTTTTCTGGCTTGTTAGCGTCGAAGGACGTTAATTTGAGGATGAGCCGAAACGAGAAGATAACAGTACCGAGGGGATTGGAGAGACCACAATGTTACCCTCCTATGAATTCACATTCTGCATCAACTATTGACAATCGCTGTTAAACTACTACTACCAGCTGACTGGTAATTAGCCAGAGCTCAGGGGAGCTTCGGGTACCGTCAACCGTCAAGTGCTTGGGAATCAGAATTTGATTCGGCCATCGTCTGATGGTCAGCCAACTCGGCCATCGTCATTTTCAGGACATGTGAAAATCAAATGCATATTAGTCATAAAATTATATTAGTTTTGATTCGGAGGCTTAAAATATTCGTCTTTTTTTTAATACAACAATATTATTTATACTAAAAAAGATGGGGATTGAGTTAATAAATTTGGTCCGAATACGTTTATGTGAGAATCGAATTTAAAACCTTTCATATTTGTTCAAAAAAAAAAAAAAAAAAGTTAAAGACCTTTCACTAACTAGTAACGAGGAACATTACTAGACTATAATATTAAGTCGTGAGTTCTATTCGATCTTGCATAAGTACCAATCCAATGCACATGGTCTCATTCAATGTGAAAGTGGGTTTTAGTAATGGAGACATGTTCTCCTAGATCTCAGGGTCAAAGAAAATGGTGGTCACCCACCGTTCGATCTTAATTCAACATAAGAAAGTACAACAGAAAAAGTTATGAAAACATACAACAGAAAAAATTAGTGAGTACATATTAAATTACGATCAAACGGTTGATGACCACCATTTTCTTGAATCTTGAAGTCTAGTCTAGAGAACAGTTCTATTTAGAAATGAGGTGAGGCTGGTCAGGCTATCCTATCCTTATAATACGATGCATATTTATTACGCATAACAAAACTCAGACTTCCAGTTTAAGCTAAGAACACTTGAAGTCTAACAGATTCCTGTAGAAAATATTATCATATCATCGAGATCTCTTCATCGATCTACCAGACCACCTATCGCATTAAGCGTTCTCTTACGGGCGGAATGTCCTCACTGCCTGAGAAAATGGTTGCCGGCAGAGGGGACATTCGGTCAGCTGCGAGCAGCAAGTTGTACAACAGCACATATGACCACACCTGATACAATAAATGAGTCAAAAGTGTGCTAAGTTTATAAAGGAACACTAGACGATCCATTGAATCAAATATCGAAAAGCCAGTTCTTACGGGATGAAAACAACATTGTACTGCTGCTCAAGGCATATCACACATGAATTGGCCCCGTCTGGTGCAGCAGCAGCCCTTTCGCCTGAACCCGGGAGAAGAAAAAAGAAAGTTAAAGCCTTTCAGCACATTTCCGAGCATATATTATCCGATAAATAGCATTGTAACGAGGACACATCGCTATATATCTACCTGCATTATCTCTTTGAGATCTTATATAAACTGCAGCGACGGCCCTTGTGTCCGATGAACCTGGGAGAAAAAAATGTTAAAGCGTTTTGGTACATTTCCAAGCGATATGACGAGTAGTATTGTAATGTGGATACTCGGCGATATACCTACCTGCATTATGTTGCCGAGATCTTATATCAGCTACAGCAGCGGCCGCCCTTTCGTATGAAGCTGGGAGAAGGAAAAAAAAGTTGAAGCGTTTTAGACTTTTAGTGCATTTTCGAGCACATGTTACATGAGAAAAAAGCATTGTCTCCGGCACACTCCACATTATACCTATATTATTTATCTGAGATCTTATATCAGCTACTGCAGCAGCCGCCCTTTCGTACGAAGCTGGGAGAAGGAAAGAAAGGTTGAAGCGTTTTAGACTTCTAGTACATTTTCGAGCACATGTTACATGAGAAAAAAGCATTGTCACAGCGCACTCCACATTATACCTATATTATTTTCCCGATATCTTATATCATCTGCAGCAACAGCCCTGCACAGACAGGAAGTTCAATTTCTATCAGCCTCAACAGACAGATCAAATTATGAAGGGAAAAAAAAAAATAATAATAATAATATCTGGGGTTAAATAAAATGCGGTTCTATCCACAGAAGCAGTAATGACAACCAGTGACTTTTACTTGCAGTAAGTTTCCGAATGAACGTAACTTGGGCAAAACTTACCTTCTCCTGCTTCTCAGCCATTCGGAGCGGCGCAGTCTTTCCCTGATGTACTTATCAAGTTCAGCGGCAATCAAAGTAAGACCGATCACAGCCACACCAAAAGATGCACATTTCAAAAACCTGGTAAAGATGTTTATATTAATTGTACTTTAGAGAAGGCGCAAAAGGACGCCGATGAGTAGTGTACATTGCAAAAACAAACCTTGCCCAGTTCTTATGGCTCGCAATGAGCTCGTCGATGGATTTGGTGGAGACATAGAATGGCCCTTCGTGGGGTTTTTGAATGCGAATGGTACCAACGTCGTCTTTGACGGCCTGAACATGAATTTGAAACCTAAGGATTAGTGTATATATTAAGTAGGCTAACATCACAAGTTCATAGCATTTCAAACATACCTCACCAACAACACTCAGAGAAATACCAATTGGAAGTACACGCTCAGTTCTCTGGACTCCCAGTAACTAAGACAAAATAGCGAAAATGTTAGTTGAACCGATTTGGGTTTTGATCACAAATAGTCCTTTATGTTTTGGTAACTCATCGGTTTGGTCCTTCATCTATTGACTCGCTCATCCAACAAGCTGCCACCTCCGAGAACCCCACAGCCACCACATCTACTCCCACTTGTGCGCCGTGCACTCCATTGCTTCCCTTCTTACATCACAACACTGGCCGCCCATTCCCCCACTCCCTATATATTCCTTGAATCCCCATATTAAAACCATGTCTCTCAATCCGAAACGGAAAATCCAACTCCCAGATCCTAAACTCAGTCCCGCAATCTGCAACGGAAACCACTCGCTCCCTGGCAAGTTCTCATAGACTTCTACGTCCTCAATTCAATTTGAGAATGCAGCAGCACCACCATGTTTTCCTCCCTCTCTGTTTGTGTTTCAATCAACGGGGACGAATCCATCATTGAGTGCTGTTTGTTGTGACCAGACTCAGAAGTCGAAGATGACAAAATATATTTCAACATTCTAAACTGATGAGCAAGTGAATGCATGAAGAACCGAACTGACGAGTTGCCAAAACATTGAGGACAATTTGTGTTAAAAACCCGATGAAGTTTTACCATATATAAATACGGATATCACTAAACAATACAAACCTTGATGCCTTCACGGTCATCTATTCTCTCACATTCGACGCTTCTCTTTGTCTCACATTCGAGTCTGTTCATCTCACATTCGTGGCATCTCCTGGACTGTTCAAATTGGCCACTTGAAGCTGGAAATGTAAAGCCTGAGGCACCTGTAGCTCCGACCACATTCACCCGGCCAGTTCCATCGTCCTGGTATACAAAATCAAGGAACCACATCACCATCAAGCACAACAATGAACATGTGTGAGAGAGAGAGAGAGGTGAGAGCGAACAGATACTCACCAAATACCAGGGCACTTCTCTACATTCTGAAAGTAGCAAATTATAACCCGTCTGCCAATCACCTTTCTCGTCGCGTTTCAGAAACCTTTGTGATGCCTAAAGAAGGTGTCGATATCAAAAATCACCAGTAAAGAAAGCACTCAAAATTCATGTACGACGTTTGAAGTTATCATTTGTGTACCGTTTGCATGACAACTACGCCGCGTAAACCACCAAACTCACAGTGGATTGGATTGTCACAGCAAACCGTCCCAGAAACTCCAACCACCAAAGGTATCCGCCTAAGCTCCAACAGTTTGGCTGACAAATGAAACAAGACAACTCGACGTTATGTAGGAAACAAATCAAGGCCGACGAACTAACAGCATCGATAGCAAATAAATCTCTTTCCTAGCAATGTTCCATACAAATAAATCTCTTTCACATCATTATGTTATTTCTCCTACTGCTGCTATCATCTATCCTCTCACTTTAAAACATGTTGTCCAATATGCAACGGGCTCATAGCTCGAGCAGCTAAAGCATTCACCCTTGCATCCGAGGTTGCGCGTTTTAAGTTCTCGCTCCCTCAATATCGCTTCTATAAAAAAAACATATATACGCATGTGCTCCAGTGTAAACTAATCATTTAGTACTCAAATATTATATTCACCGGTTGATTAGAAATACAAGGAGAGTTTGTGTTACTTTCAAAATCTTAGGAAGTTTTGTGAAAACTCGATAAACCTCAGGGAGTGTATGTGTAAGTAACCCGATTCATGTCTTTTGAAAAAGAGGCACATACCCAATTCACTCACTTGATTAATCTGAGGGACCGACTCAAGAGCATCTGCATCACTGTAAAATCACAAAACATCAGTTTATTACAACAATATATTTACCCTAAGACGTGGAGAAATAGATTGGTATTCAACTCACCGTCCATAATATTCGTTTGTAAAGAATACTATTAAGTGATACCTCAAAGAAATTTAACTTCCACAATAATTTGAAAATAGATAATTAATCGTTACTAATTAAGTTTAATCTCTGCTTAATATAAAATCTTAGGTTAATTACTTACCTGCTGAATCTCCATCCGGCAAGGTAAAGAGCAAGTGCACCCAAACACCACCATACTCCCTCCCAAATTCGCATCTCTCCGATCAAGGATTAATCAAAGTATCAAACTGCTGCTGAAGTCTCATTATATATGGAAGAGCTTACGACTTAAGAAATAATGAAACTTATGGACCAAGGAAACTCAAAATATAAAAGGAAACCGAATTTTTAAAAGGGCAAAATTAAATTTGTAGACAAAATTTACAAATTAAATAATATGTCACTAATAGGAATGAACACGTTTATCAATACTTAAGTAATAAATCAATCAT